TCGACAAGTTGAAAATGGTACAAAATAGAGATACTGCTCTTAAAATTATGTGCGATAGCTCATTGGATCCGGAATGACGCCTAGAAAAATGTGCCAAAAGCGTGTATTAGCACATTAAAAATTGCAAAAGTTATAAACAATTAAAGATGAAAAAAAATGGCATTTCGTTTTTTGCCAATATTTTATAAACTATTGATATTTAAGAAATTTAAAAGTAAAAAAAATATTTATACTTTGTTTATAACTTTTTTTTTACTTGAACAAAAACTTAAAAATCAAAGTAAAGTTAACTTTTATGGCACGATCTTGTTAAGTATGTATGTAAGAAAGGCTCTACGAAGCGAATTTTTTTACGACCATTATTTAAATTTACAACTTGTCAACTAGACGAACTAGTACGCGAGTCAGTAGATGGTTATACATTACAGATTCATTAAGTTTTTTTTCTATTCTGTTCTGCTTTTTTCTTTACTGGCGGACAAGCACACGGGGCTAAAACTACATAGGGCTCCCTAACTAAGCCCTGTGAAGGCTTACTCTATGAGGGCTTACTCTCTAACTCTCTACGAACTGAATTGGGTACCGCTTTGCGGCTGATCCCACTGTTTCTCCTAAAGTGCTTTAAACCTATTATAATGGGTTTCTATATTTATTTCTACATATTGTAAGACGTTTGCCAATTGATGTAACATAAATCTTCATTAACAGGCGGCTTTAGTGGTGGTAGAGGCTGTAGGAAATTAACCACAAAATAGTGACGTAGGATTCCTCTTCTTTCTTCTTCTTAGTCGGATACTCCTAGCAGAGTAGTCATGGCTGTCGATGGACAGGATTGTCAGAGTCTCGACATCGCCGCTCACTTCCAAGGCAGCCGCATGTCGAGCGATGTTCCTCCATTGGAAGCGGCTGTTAGCATTGCGAGCACATTATACTGCGGGGTTTTCGAAGGTCAATCCAGCGCGTGGAGGATGAACCTCGAGATTTTCTGCCTCCTACTCGGCCCTGTACGACAAGTCTCTCCATTGAATCTTTTTTTCTAGAAATATGCTCAAAGAACTTGAGAATTTGTAGCTGAACAGTCGACGAAAATCTATTTTGTATAGGAAGTTCTTTGTTGTTTCTGTGTGTGAAGACATAGGATTATGAATGGATAAAAGAATCGAATCGACAGCAGCTTGGCTTTGCCCCGAGTATTTCTGATGTCCATGTACGACGTTGACTACTTCCCAATCAGGTAGTATGTGTACCTACGATGAAACAAAAAAATAAGATTACCTAAGCCTTTGTAAGGAGGAGTAGGATCTAAAACACACTGCCCAAAACCGATGTAAATGAAAGGATTTGATTCGAGCCCTACACCCCAGCAATAGGTAATAATAAAGAAAGAAAAAGAAGTTGTGATTAGATTATCAATCTTAATATGTCTCAAAGTGCCCAACATTGAGGTTATCGTATCCGTAACCTCCTATAAACATGTTATATCAGTCAGTTGTTTAACTTAGCCAAATAAAAACTTACACTGTAAATATTTGAACTAAATTTGATTGTTCTGTGAATGTTTGAAAACATCGTGTCAAATTTCTCAAACAGATACCTTTATATAGTTTTGTGCACTTTACGAACGGTTCTCAGTTTATGTAACCGGTAAATTTATCAGATGTAGGTACATAGCTTACTACTCAATATTCACTAATTTAAAATATTAAGTGAACATAAACGATTTTTTTAAATGTTTTATAAGTTTTTAAATACGAAATATATTATTACTCTTTCGGTCATCGTATCTCTGGTAAGTTGCTTAATTTTAAAACATGAAACAGGAAATGTATACTACGCGCTAAGTTGATCCTTCATCACCATCATTATCATCAGTCACTGATAGACATAGGCCTTTCCAATTTTTTTATTGCCCTTGTAGGCAGACAAGCATACGGCCCACCTGATGGTGAGTGGTTACCGTCGCTTATGGACTTCAGAAATGCCAGGGACAGAGCTAAGCCGCTGCCTACCGTTAAACGCAACTAAGCACGATTCTTAATTTCTATCATCCAGCCTTGAGAGCCACCCTGCATAGATCGTCACTCCACCGAGCTTAAGGGCGTTCTGCTCAACGTTGGCCAATTCGCGGTCTCCACAGAAGAACACGTTTATCCCAACAATTATCGGTTCTCCAGATAATATGGCTGGCTCATTGCCACTTCAGCTTACTAATGTTTACAAAAGTTAATTACAAAATACTCAAGTATTAAAAACCATGAATTATTATTATTATTTCTATTGCCCTTGTAAGCAGACGAGCTTACGGCCCACCTGCGCCACAGGCCACACCTGATGGTGAGTCGTTACCGTCGCCGATGGACTTCAGCGTCTTCAGCAATGCTAGGGGCAGAGCCAAGCCGCTGCCCACGATTAAGTACTCTCCGCAAGCCTCGTTAAAATTAAATTAATTCTTAAATTAATATATTTGCTACCCGATTTTTTAAGGTTCAAGGCCAAATAGATGACGACTACCAAATTCGTCCAGATAGATGTCAAGCACCGATAGAATTAATGGTAAAGCATATTATTTCATTCCAAAAAAATGTTTACATTTCAAAACAATTGAAAATATCACATTCACCCTTGATTCTGAACAAGGGGGTTTTTGCAATTTAAATTTACTACATTTTTACACAAATCATTGTTTGTAAATCAAATTATATTACTTATACTGGAGGTAGGACCTCTTGTGAGTGCGCACGGGTAGGTACCACCACCCTGCTTATTTCTACCGTGAAGCAGTAATGCGTTTTAGTTTGAAGGATGGGGCAGCCGTTGTAACTATATTGACACCTTAGAACTCGTATTTCAAGGTGGGTGGCGTCATTTACGTTGTAGATGTCTATGGGCTCCAGTAACCACTAAACACCAGGTGGGCTGTGAACTCGTCTACCCATATAAGCAATATTTTTTTTTAAGTATGATGGGTTTTTTTAATTCTTGCAGTATCGCCAATGTTGTATCTTTCCACCATTCTTTACTAGAACAATAGCCAGAAGTTGTGGAGGAATAGCCGATATGAACTTTGTTAAAAACGATATTGGCGGCTTCGTTAGAAAGGCCGTTACTGGAGTAAGTAATAATAGCATTTAATTGAAAACATTGTTCACCTTCCCATGTAAACAAATTTGATTTTTTGACATTAAAAAATGTTAACAATTAGACAAAGCAATGTACAAATTCTGTATTTGTAAAAGTTACAAAATATGCATTAGATAATCTGTAAGTGCAATTTTCCAGCAAACTTCTTAGGCAATATATATCCAGACAAAGATGTATATAAGTTATCCTAATGTTGGAATAAAACATATTCAGTCACAGTTTGCAGATAAAAGAATTGAGAGGGAATGACACAAATTATCATTAAAGTTCAAATTATCGGGTATTTGCATCACTGTAAACAGTGCTTAAGGCAACATTATAATTTTTTATGTTCCTTATAATTCCTATCCTACGAAGTAATATAAGTTAGTCAATATTAGTAGCAGTAATAGTAGTTTGCTTATTCTGTAATTTTTTTTCTAACCATGGTAGGCACATACAAGTTACTAGTAAATAAATAATAAATATATTATTAAATTGAACATGACATCTTCCACCAACTATATTTATTATTCATACTTAATGAATTTTAAGTAAATTAAACTCATTCAAAGTAGTGTCCGGTACAACTCGTAAGATACCTTTAAATTTGTGTAATGAAACAGTGATAAATGCAGAAAAATTAAATTCCCGGATTTCGTAAACTTATCAAAGGGTTTTAGTGCGACCATTGGCGTTGTATTCTGAAAAAATACAACTTCCTAACACCAAATGGCTTATTGGACGACGATAAATATTACGCACACCTGGACAAATGGACCGAGCTGAACTCTGCGTTTAAAACTGTGATACTGAACGCGAAAGTTCATTGCAAACTGAATTATCAACATCTATTCCCTATGGAGCCTTGTGAGTTCTACAACCTGCACGGATGCATAAGGAATTTTGTGAATTTGGTAAAAACAGTTTAAATTTTTTTGTCAAATAAGTTATAACTTTGAATTGTGATTATTATTAACTACGCTTTGTGAGGGCAAAGCTAACGGCTCATCAGGTATTCTCAATGATCACTAAAGCCCAGAACTACCGAATGTTGGCGTTAATATTAAACACATCGACCACAACCAGTCTAATCACTAATCCTACCTACAAGCCACCTTAAAATGTAAAGACAAAAACTGAATTTGTGCTTTATAACAGTCATATTACCTTTTAAACCGGAACGTAAGACTGCTTCAGGGTATAATAACAAAGTTAGTAGTATTGTGCGAACTTAGAATAAGCCCAGCCGTGACTATCTAGATACTCTCTGTTTCCAATGTGCTTTATGAAGCCAAATTGTATGACAACAATCTAGGCGACAATAATCAGAAAATATCGTATTTCAACCTGGCTATTGTTTGTTGTTACGAATTCCGTCTGTCCCTTGTAAATTAATTGTATGCTAGTATTATTGGCTTGTTTTTCTATCAGTCAGTACCAACATTCTGTATATTTATACGCCACGGTCTGATGCAACAAAAATAATTGAGAGAGACTTCGATTTGCACCCGCATGCAGCATCTTAGCTGTACCGCTGGCATTAGGTTGGCAAATGAAAGCGACAAAGCAAATGATTTTCAATTCTATGCGACCTTGTATCCAGAATTATTACAGAGGTATGAAAAATACTTTACGAAATTGATAATTTTACAGGGATGTCCAGTCTATATGCCAACCAAGGAATGTCAGGAAGTTAAAGAATTCAACGAGGAGTGCAGAGACTTTTTTACATGATGTTAGATTATGAAAATTAAATTGGTGATTTTACACGAAACAATCTTTATTCTAATAAAAGAAAATACATAAATCGTGTATCTCTTAACCTTTAATGCATTTTGTGAAGAAATCTCTTGTTTCTTCTATCTTGTGAAGAAACCTAAAGAACTTTATTACGTTTTTCGATCCATTCACAAAATGCAGTGCATTCCAATTACCCTAAATATATTAAGCATTAACTGTAATTACAATTAAAGAAAAAACTACAGTAAAATCCTTTCTAAGTACCATTATTTATACAAATCTAAAATGAAATTGGAATAGATACATAGTGGCTGTGCAATGTAATGGAAATCATGGCCATACCCAATTCGTTTATAACACAATTATTCTAAATCCCCACAAATAATATTTCTAAATATACTAAAGTCATTTAACACTAAAAAGAAATATCGAATAAATGATGTAAACAATCTTACAATTAAAAGCGTACAATGCACCAAACACACTAATACTGTCACGTAAATGCTCAATAACTTTCGCAATATTATCACACGCACCAGTATCTCGATCACTTTCCTCATAGGAATGTTTCATTAAGCTAACTGAATAGTCATTTTCCGACTTTAAGGTAGGAGCCTTGGATTATAACGACCTACGTACAATATCATACCCGAAGGATTGTGCCTCACAAAGTATAAGAACGGCCTGTCGAATTTTAATCTGGCTGGTTGAGTGCTTCTTGTTGGTAAACGGGCCTGTCTTGGACGAAGATGCAGCGGCAAATTCATTGCGTCTCCAACGTCATGGGGGTCATGGAAAGCCCTTTGATAATCCCTAGGCTCGTCCCAATAATTAGCCCATCTTGAAGTACGACGCCTTTGTCCAGGACGGGTAGTTTCAGGATATTCCTCAACATGATGTTGTTCACCGATGATTCCTTCACCGCACGTCACAAAGCTCGTCATTTGTATCATGTCAGAAAGGAACAAGTCCTTTGAAGGACCATTAAGACCTCCTAAATCAGCATGGTCCGCATCGAACAAATCTTTTAATCCCATTTTCCTTAAGCTTGATGAAACATTAAAAACTGATTTGTGCGAAAATCTTGGAATCTGAAGCTCTAATCCAATTCTAGGTAGCAGTGTTCTAAGAAGACGATTCCAAGAGGGAGTGGAAGGACTAGCATCCAAAAGTCTCCGTTCCAGTCTTTCTAAGTCCTCACCATGAACAACGTTTCCTTGTTGACCAGGCATTAGGAAGAAGGTGCTAACTATGGAGTTGGTGTTTCCTAACGCAGCAGCTGTAGCATCCAGAATAGGATCGTAGCCAGCCAAAAATCCTTTCTTATAAACTACAGCAGGCACCGGAACGAGCCGACGTTGACGCACATTGGGCGATACCACGAAATACATCTCGCCGTCTCTGCCGTCCGTTGAAGTGCCAGTACAATCCGTCTGAAATGATTTAAATGTAATTTAATATTTTGTCATGGAAGTCAGATTCCTATCCAATACCATAGTCAACCTTAAATAGTCTATATCATGAAAAAATTTTACTGATAAAAAAATATAAATTGGTTGTCTATGAAGTGTGTAAAGTCGGTTTACGGACGTTAATTTTGCGTTACGCAGAAATATTCCAACTGCTAGCTTTGGCTGATGCCAGAGCAAGAAATAAGATAAATGTGTCACAAGCCAAGGCTTGCGTGCCTCTCTATCGCTTGGAGCAAGGGCTTTGGAGAAACGTGATACTTTTTTTTGCGTGCAGCCGGTGTTCATCGATTTCTAAGACGTTATCACGCCAAAACACATTTTGTTCAACATTTACATATGACCTATATATATGAAAGTTATGTCCAGCAAGATCGAGGGACTGCTAGTTAATAGCTTTTGCAGCAGGCACTTATGAAAGACTCCGAAAAATAATATATAGAGTCACTTATTTAATGTGTAATGTTTTAAGTTACAAACATAGATTATTAGTAATACCAACAAAATGTATGGTTTTTACTAAAATAAATATTTATCATTGTTATACTCGTATATATCTGTCAGCCCATAGAAAAATACGTCTCTCAATCCTCGACATACAAATATACATAAGACCATATTAGCTCTAAATAATTTAAACGTCGATAAACTCTTAATAGTGAATTTAAGATTAAATTATAAGTTTGCTTATTCTACAATTCTATTATTTGGTAAAAACAATTTAGATATAGGTAACAGTACATAATTGAAACTAACCTGATATATGTTTGCTGAAAAGGCAGCTAGCGGGGGTTGCATAACAATGCTGTTAGTTTTCATGTATTCTGCTATCTTGCCCCAAGTGTATCTCTTCACAAGTAGATTAGTTCGACGTCGGATAATGTCACTTATCAATTTAAAGTTAACTTCTTCTACATGCCCATTGTAGAAATGCTGCGCCCTTTCTTTATAGAAAGTCAATATCTTTCCTTTGGTTCTATCACTGTACAGCTCTCTTATAAATGCTGATACAATTATTCCAGATTCTGGACTTGTTTCAATCGAATCGGAAATATTTTTTAAGGTAAAGTGAGGATTAAATGTTACCATGTCATCTAATTTAAGTATCTCGTTCATTTCTCCAGACGTAGCGCCTCTAGCTCCCATAAACATCATAGCGAGCATCGAAGTTATAGAGTAAGGTGACAGAACAAAACTTCTCTTTTTATCTATATTCTCTACCAATACATTCCAGTATCTAAATGCAAGTTCATTACATAATTCAACAAATTGAGCAACGTCAGCACCCAAATCTTTTGTTGTTACTTCTAATCCTTGGTTTTCTTTAGAAAACTCTAAGACAATGTCTTTATTATCATTATTGTCAGAGCCATAATTATTTTCTAGCTTGTTACTTTCTTTTGAAATATCATCCCCTTTAGAAGGAGACACAGTAGGAATCAATTTCCAAGAACTATTTCGTTCGTTTACCAATTCCTCATCTGCAATATTTACTTTTTGAATTTTCTTTTTAAATTCATCAAATTTTGGTAATGGCTCGTATTTTGCGTCATTTTGCTTTTCTGTATCTTTTTTATTCAATTTTTCTTTAAGATTTGTCTTGGTATTATTTTCTATAGCCAAATTAATCATGGTATTACTAGCTACAGTAGATGTTTCAATAGTAGTGATTACTACTGTAGTTGACTCTTGAGTTGAAGCTGTGGTCGTTAGCTCCTGATCTTTATTTTCTTCAATTTTTTCGACTTTCTCAGGTGAAATGTCATCATTTGGTTTTTGGGAATCGTTATTTCCAGAAACAGAAATTTGAACGAACTTTTCTTCGTCAATATTTTCTGAAATTTCTTGTTTTTCATTTTCAAAATTGCGATCAGTAGTATCTTCTGGTGAGCTGTTGGTAGGAATCTCATTTCCAATTGTCATTTCATCTACAGTAGGCTGAGTACTTGTTGGTATTTCAGTACTTAAAGCTACTATTGTTGAAGTAACAACTTCAGAATCACTCAAGTCAGTTGTTGTATCAAAACTTGTTTCAACGGTAGTAGTTTTTAGGCTATTTACATCTGATGTTACGATGGGCTGAAGAACTTCATTTGAAACTTGTGATAATAAATCGTCAATCGATTCATTCATAATTGGATCGAACGTAGCATTATCTGAGATTGTTGTGATCAAATCAGTAGCTGAATCTGTGACTACTTCACTTTTACTAAAGTCAAAATCACCGGTATTTTTAAACTTGTCATCCTTTTCAGATTCGGGAATTAAAGTGGAAATTTTCACGAAATTACTTTCATCTGTTTTTGTCGAATTATTTGGTTTTACGTTATTTTCATTATCAGTTGCTGTTGGTATATCAATATCCAATGTTTCCTTGCTCTCCAAGCCGTCTTCCTCCATTTTAGTGTTATCAAGCATATTCGTAACAGTCGGCATAGGTTGATAATTATTGCCAAGGTCAGTGGCAATCTGGCTAATACTTTGCGCCACGTCGAATAATGGTATCATTGGTTCATTATCATTGTTGTTAAAATGTTCATTTGTACTTACAGGGATATTATTGCTTAAGAAATTATTGAATATAGTAGGGTTTTCTGGTGCCAAAAATTCAGTTGACGAAACTCCTGTAGAAGGCGATACAGACTGTGTAGTTAACGTGGTTACATTATTTCTTCCCAAGTCATTGCTTGTAGAAGAACTGTAACTAATTGTACTGCTTAGTGGTTTAGAAGTTGTTGCTTTCGTGGTTAAAGCTGACATTTGAGCGTTCTGATCGGTGATGAATGTAGATTTAGTAGTTTCAACTGGTTTCTGTGTTGTTCTTTCAGTTACGTAGTTCTTTGTGGAAATAGGAATGAAAGTGCTCAATTTTTGTTCACTTATATTTTGTGTAGTTGAAATTGCCTTTTCAGTGGTTCTTTGTTGCATAAAATCTTCAGTATCAGTATTTATACTAGATAATGATGAATATTTCGTTGTTGTAGTTGGTATTGGTTGCACGGTAGTGATTTTCGTCAGACTAGACTTAGTTGTTTCTGACGCTGAAGTTGTTGTTGTAATTGGTTTAAAAGTTGTAGTTGTACGTCTTTTAGTAGTGGTTATTGTGGTAGGTTTTGTTATTTTATTTTTAATTGTTGACACTACTTTATTTGTGGTCGTCTTTAGAAATTCTGTTGTTGTAGTTGGCTTACTTGTTGTACTAGTAGTTGTAGGTGGAGTAATAGTAGTAGAAGTAGCCGTAGTGGTGATAGTAGTAGGAATGGAATTACGTTTAGTGGTAGGAATAGGTGTAGTTGTAGTGGTAGGAATAGGTGTCGTTGTAGTGGTAGGAATAGGTGTAGTAGTCGTAGTGGTAGGAATAGGTGTAGTAGTAGTAGTAGTAGTAGAGGTAGGAATAGGTGTAGTAGTAGTAGAGGTAGGAATAGACGTAGTAGTCGTAGAGGTAGGAATAGGTGTAGTAGTAGTCGGAGTAGTACCTGGAGTAGTAGTTGTCGTGGTAGTAACAGTGGTAGTGCTAGTAGTAGTAATATTATGAGCTTTATTAATCGAATCGAAACTAACATGTTCCTTTGCTGGCTCATCGTTGTTGACCAAAATCTGATCTTTTTCCTGTGAAATTGTATTTAGTTGATGATTACCTTCTTTGCTTAGGGAATTGTCTTCTAAGTCTTGATCGTTTTGTTTCTCAAATTCTAGCGTTTCTATTTCAGGCGTAGTAAAAGCTTCTGAAGTTTTATCGGGTACAATATCGATACCAGTATTTCCAAATATCGACGGTAAAATAAGACTCCACGAATCCGATACATCCGGAGTATCAAATGTTGGCTGTACCATTGGTTTGTTTTTGTGGGCTTCGATTTGCGCTTTTAGTACGTTTTGCACATTGGTCACGACGCTGTGAATTTTAGTAGAAGGCGGTTGACTGAAATTAAAAGCTATTGTTGGTTGTTTGTCATTAGCAAACGTAACTAAGCCGTCTCCTTCTTCTCCGGCAGCTACTATAGCTTGAATTTCTTCTAAAGTCATTAACCTCTTCACTAATTCTCCGGATTCGTCGAAAGTGTAGAACTCATAGCGATCAGGAGTCAATAGATTGACTGGACTACCAACAGACGCAGGCAGGTTGGGCGGCGGAGGTAGCGTATTACCGACTGAATCAGCCACAAATGGTAGCTTGGAGCCCCTGAAACGTTAGTTAATTCTTATGAAACTATTTGATAAAAAGATTAGAGATACTAGAAACAAAATCTCGCAAAGCACTGAGCACAGTTCAGCGGCTATTAGTTTCCTGAAAAGTAATCAGTGATGTATAACTCAATAAAATACAAACAGACAGATAAATAATTCAATAATTTCAACATTCTGTAGTAAATCTGCTTATTATATTTATTTATGTAGATGAACGAACTCATGGCCCACCTGGTGCTAAGCCCGGAGCCCATAGACATCAACAATGTAATTGACGCCACTCACCTCGAGACATGAGTTCTAAGTCTCAATTTTTGTAGTACAACGGTTGCGCAACCCTTCAAAAATGGGCAGAGTGGTGGTACCCTACCTAGTGGTGCCTACCCTACCTAGTGATGCTCACAACACGCCCTACCACCAGCGAATTTACCATTCCACTTCAAAAGCGCAGGTATCGTAATATAATTGCGTATTTGTGTATTTTTTTTCTAAATTACAAAATCTTACGTAAAAAGGTTGAAAGGGTTCAATCGTGAACTTCAAAGAATTTTTGCCGTCCCTTCTCATTTGCGTAGGTATATGAAAAAATTGGAAACTAAAACGAGTTTGAATCGTCTATCAAAGTTCCTCGTCCCTCGGGCGATATTTTTTTATTGACATACAACATTTATTTTGTGGATATATAATTTGTTTTATTTTACCTCTCTTCGTCGGCATCAGCTAAAATCCAGGCGGTTGCCAGCAAAACACAAAGGATGACACGCATCTTGTCCTCCCATACACTATTCACACCTGGAATTGCAGAAACATAAACTATTTAACATACATTACAGGTACATACATTTTTTTTTTTTTATTTCCTAGATGTGTGGACGACCTCACAGCCCACCTGGTGTTAAGTGGTTACTGGAACCCATAGACATCTACAACGTAAATGCGCCACACATCTTGAGATAGAAGTTCTAAGGTCTCAGTATAGTTACAACGGCTGCCCCACCCTTCAAACCGAAACGCATTACTGCTTCACGGCAGAAATAGGCGGGGCGGTGGTACCTACCCGTGCGGACTCACAAGAGGTCCTACCACCAGTAAAAACATATACAACAATATATATAACAAATACATAACATAACATGTAACAGGTAATACATTCATTTCAATATCTATATATTAATACGTGAAGCAAAAACTTTGTATCCCTATTTACGAAAATTGCGGGGACGGATCACTATGAAATTTTCCACACTTATAGAGAATATAGAGAAGAAGTGCACAATGCTAATTTTTTTTTTTAATAATGCATAAAAGATACATTAAATCAATAAAGAAAACATTACACACACTATAGACCATGTATTTGACGCACACACGCATGCATACTATTTATTGTCAAACTTTTGTTCTTGACGTCTGTTGTCAAATTGAGAATAGATTGAATATTGTTTGTCTTTATTAATATTTTTTATAGTGTAGTCTTGGCGAAATTTGTGATTATAGAAGCATAAAATACAATCATAATAGTGTACAAACTTACAATTCCAATTAATTATAGTCGAATTTCGACTACTGCGGGACCTCTAGTTTTTTGTTAATTGTTATATTTCTAAGCTCAGATATTGTCACTTTTATGCAATCCATGAATTTCAGTTTAATTTTTGTCAAATAATTTTCTATTTTTGTGTATCTGAAGTAAAGCTGTTGTATTCTTTGTACGAGAAGCACTGCTGCTTGAGATACAGGTTTTATCACCTAGTTCAAGCACAGATGCAAATTATGATTGTGTTTCTACTTCTATGTTAACTATAAATAAATAAATATTATTTTTTTATATTTTACATAAAAATAGTACCTAATATAATTCAGTTATGATTTGCCCATATATTTAGCCAAAGCTGCTAGACGAAATATATAGTTTTGCTTATTATTGTCTCCAAATGTTATAGTCCTATTCGAAGGGAGCCGGTATACGAGTATTGTCGACATAGAGGCTGGGTTTTTTATTGTTGCGATCAAATCGTAACCAGAATATAACGTGAGCTCGTTTTAGCAAGCTCGCCGATCACCCGATATAAGCTATAAGTACCTTGCCTATTTCTGCCGTGAAGCGTTCATTTGTTCCGGTTTGAATATTAGGATGGCTTTATACTATAGACGGGAATTGCACATCCAATCATAAAGTAGGCGACGGCATGAGTTTGTGATGTGTGTGGACTTATGCGAAAATCAGTAAACACTTAATTAATATATGATATGACGTGAGATGCCCATCAAAGGGAATAAAATAAATAATGTTAATTATGATATCGCTATCGTAATTTTTTCACTGAAAACTTCCGATGCCAGAATCACTAAAAGTAAAAGTTAAACATCAACTCGCACAAAAACCTCCGCACACATAATTAAGAGTTAAAAAAATTTTAAACGACATAATTGGTTATTTTACACGCATCGAGTCGTTAAAATACTTCTAAAACCAACGAGACGAATCACACCATAGCCAATAATAGTCTGTATCACTGCACGCAATGTTTTATGAAAAAATTGGCAACCTGTTCAACAAGAAAAAAGGCGGTCGTTGTCACTAGAACTAGTTTTGTTACGATGTCAAGATGAGTTTTTTTTTTGTGTACTACAAACTACAAACTAAGTTAGCGATGCTCCAATGGACTTTACATGAAGGGATTTTTCTAAATAAACTCTTTTCAAATTCCGTTTGCGTTTTGAGACATCTTTTTTTTTGTATTGCTTAGATGGGTGGACTAGCTCACTCACAGCCCACCCGGTGTTAAGTGGTTACTGGAGCCCATAGACATCCACAACGTAAATGCGTCACCCACCTTGAGATATAAGTTCTAAGGTCTCGAGTATAGTTACAACGGCTGCCCCACCCTTCAAACCGAAACGCATTACTGCTTCATGGCAGAAATAGGCAGGGTGATGGTACCCGCCCGCACGGACTCACAAGAGGTCCTACCACCAGTAATTACACAAATTATAATTTTGCGGGTTTCATTTTAACATCTTGAATTTGAGTTTTTACTTCGATTTGATGATCTTAAAACATTCTAATACGTTACAAATTGGCTATAAAACTGAACTGCATTGACCCCTTGCCATCACGGCCACAATACCTCAAAAGATTGACACAGAACTTAATCGTGTAATTTCTTCTCGAATTATCTCTGTGTGTATAATGACTTGAACCGCAACTTCATGGTTGGCCGTTCCGTCAACCACCGTTACTTGTAGATGCGCCGGCGCTTCTGCGTTGTGCAGTAATTACAGGCATTGGCTCACATGATGTAACGTCCACTGGTAATTCATTGAATCGGTGATAAGTTTATTAGACCTTGAACTTGAATGTACGGTTTTTGTGAGAAACTTATCGCGGTGGTGCGTTTAAAATAAATTAAGCGATCATAAATATAAAGATTAATAATAGTTAAAGTTTGTCAGTAAAAGATAAACCATAGGATATATTGATAGTAAAATCGAGCGGTTCTTAATAAACAATCAAATGCTTAATATTAAATATTAACAACTGAGGCGTTTGTAACATTGATCCAACCGCATTTAGTTTTAAGATCTTGACACTTCCGTGCTTCGGTTGCCGACCGTTTTAAATATTCACAATCCGCTCTGACTTTGAAGTCAAATTGATTGCGGTGAGGTGAGCCAAGTTAATATTGTATGCTACCAAAGCCTTAAGAAACAAAGCCCGTTTTAGAGTAAATCCCGAAAAGTGGCATGTTATATACGTCTTTATTATTAAATACAGTTTAATGGATCTGAATTGTATTAAAGGCATTTGTAGGCGACTTCTGACCAGCACCCTAAATAACCCATCCAAAAAAATTTGTTCAAGTTTTTATTTCTTTAAATAAACATACAAAAATAAATTTTAATCAATTAATTAACTGAATTAAATTTAAATAATTAATTAATAATATAAAAACAAATAACCAAAAAAAAGACGATCGATGAAGACTTGCTTTAAACGTAACTTTATTTATTTATTATGAAGCTTATCTTTTTTCTCTGCTGTTATGCGTGTATACACAGTACCACACTGGGGGTAGGACCTCTTGAGAGTCCGCACGGGTAAAGTACCACCACCCTGCCTATTTCTGCCGTTAAGTAGTAATGCGTTTCGGTTTGAAGGGTAGGACAGCCGTTGTAACTATACCTGAGACCTTAGAACTTATATCTCAAGGTGGGTGGCTTATTTACGTTGTAGACGTCTATGGGCTCCAGTAACCACTTAACACCAGGTGGGCTGTGAGCTCGTCCACCTATCTAAGCAATAAAAAAATATATAAAAAAAAACTTTTTAGGGACATAGAATAAAATATGGTCATAATAAAACTATAGCGAAACCTTTTCTTCGTGAATTATTCAAAGCCGTTATGTCTGAAAAATTTACGTCTTTTAATAAAGACTTCGTCGTTCACTCGAGAAACTTTTAAAAATGAAAATAATGAACTGCTAAAGAGTGCTCTTACTTTAAACTCTTAATAAACAGTCTGGAAGTTTTAAAGCGTTCATTACAGTTTCAAATTGCCCGTAATTTCGTTTTAATTTTGTTGAAATTGTTATTAATTAATTATTTATGTTCATTAATATTCTTCATTAATCAAGATGGGACAATCACGTGGTCTACCTGATCTCATTTATTTAGTTAACTTTCTGAGCTTACAACAATACCACCGCTCATGTAGGAACTAGGCCTTTCAAATAACTTAGAAATCGGGATGTTTGATAAGATAATGCAAATATGGCTAAATTAGCTAAAGCACTAGGCTAAAGAAATCGAATTCGAGAAAGTCGGTCATAAAATTCGATTCTCTGGTTAAAAGTCAAACAGACGATTTTTATCAATTCATTAATGTAATATGCGTTTTTTTTTCTAACATTGTTTTTCGCACCCTTCATTCACTGTTGATATAGAGTAGATAAAAGTACATTCCATGAAAACTTTTACATTTAAAAATCATGATTAAAACTATTATTTATTATTATTATTAAATAATTAAAACATGATTTAAAATATTGGGTTGATCTCGCGTTTTTTTTTTTATTATCAACAACGACTGAAACACTATTACTTAAATTCTAATTATTAATCATTTCAGTCTATCCAGGATATTCTATACAGGATATCACAGGTCAAAGAAAAAAATGAACTTGTCGTGTGCTGACGAGAAAAAAAATATCCCTAAGTATTCCAAGAACTGGAAGCCAGCTTAATAATAAAAGTTTCAAGCCAGAAGAATCACAATCCAAGACGTTCATCAGAAACTCTCATTCGAGGTCACACGACTCACTTAAATTTGAACGAATCGCCCTAACAATATCTTTGAGATATGATACTATTATTAAAAGGAATGTACAGACATAAAAAAATATCACGCCAAAAGTTTTCCGTGAAGACATTCGTTTATTTTGCAGAAAAGAGACATAGTTACGAAATCGAAACATTATAATATTATTCCACATTAAGCTGCGGTTGACTTTATCCCTCCGTTTACCTTTAAGGGTAGCTTTGCATCTCTAAGCCTTCCATAAGCATTCCTAGCTTTGTTGCACGCTACGTTCATCCAGGTGGAAAATCTCGTACTAAACATTATAATCTTCTAAATATTAGTTTAATTCAAAGATTCATAGGTTTTGAAGTAGGTATACATTTTGATTCATATTTGTTTTGTTATTTTATTCTATTCTTTATCGTATCCTGAATTAATTAAATATTTAACTGAATCACAATGAAGATTGGATAAATTTCAA